GCACTTGTTCCTAGTAACTTCTTGTTTCTAGTAGCTTCTTGTTTCTAATAGCTTCTTGTTACTGCTAGTAAGGCACTTGTTACTAGAAGCGATGCACTTGTTCCTAGTAGCTTCTTGTTCCTAGGCGCAACAATTAGTGTTATTTGTTTTGTCCGCTTTTTTTGACGATTGGTCCGGTCCTATCACCACTGTCCGTCTAAATGGACACTGGGGCTAAAAGATCTTTGAGGGGGTGGTTTGAGGGGTCAACACGAGTTGTCCAGGCAATCCTGCGAAAGGGTTTTCCAGAAGATAGTATGGTAGTACCGTTGCGTTTCTCATTGTTCTGCTTTTTCTTTTTTTTCATCTCTTCTAATATATTTGATGCTCTCTGGTCTGTCTCTTCTATTCTTTGACGAATCGGTAACATTCCAAGGCCACCCTCAGGCTTTGGAGGCGACGAGTCGAGTGCTTTTGAAGAAGTCTTTCAACTTGCGAGTCCGAAGTCATTTGTTTCAGATTGTGGCCTCCCCAGTCACACAGACCCAGAGAAAATTGCAATGGCAGATGTTCCACGGGTGCAGCAATCATTTTGGTAAGATCTAAAGTCCAAGGGAAAAAGGTCCTATTAGCTTCTTCCTTGCTCCTGGTAACGATGCCAGGAGCCCCTAATAGCGATGGCGATGCCCTTGTGAGTTTTACCAACCGAAGTCCCTCCAAGGTGTGCCGCTTCGACCTTTGCCAGCTTGGCCGCGGGAGCGGGGAAGGTGCCACTAAAACGAGGTCCTTCAAGACCAATGAACAATTCGGAGAAAGAGCTATTATCAGTGTCCTGGTCAGTCCTCTATTTTGGAGTTGCTGATAACAAGGCAGATTTGACCAGATTGTGATGGAACGGAGGAGATGGCTCACTTCGAGATTGGCGGCGCCGTGCAAGGAGTGGGAATGGCCAGAAAGATCCATGTTGAACGATGCGGAAACACAAAGTAGCGATGGCCTCCCTAGGAGCACTCTTTGGACAAGTGATCAAAGCACGAAGTGGTTTTGGGTCCGTCAGTGTGGGTCGATGGCACACCACGCCAGCCAAACGCCATCTAGGAGGGTGATGTGTTGGAGCTTCGGATGGAGAGCTTCACCAGCGCTGGACAGGCTGAAGTTGGCGGGACTGTCCTGGTAAGGAGGTGTTCTTGAAAGTTCTCGACCACACTTACCATTGCACTTGTTGAGGTGGTTACCATCGGAAGTGAAAAACCAACTCACACCAAGGACCAACAAGTTCGGGTTTTGACTTTGAAGATGACACCTGCACATCAAAAACAGTTTTTAATATTTGCGAGGTGCCACCCTGGACCCAAAGCCTCAACAAACTTGGAAGCACTCTTTGGAACCCTCAAAAAAATGTGCTTGATGGTTGCATTTTCTTACTCCCACAGGGCACCGTGTTTGCTCGTGCTGGAATCCTTAGGTTGGAATACGGAATACCTTCCACAAGCCTTCTACCAACAAGATTAAGGCCGCAAGTCTTCCCCTTAAGTACCCCTTGCTACAAACAAGAAGCTACTAGGAACAAGTGCATCGCTACTAGGAACAAGTACCTTACCAGTAGTAACAAGAAGCTATTAGAAACAAGAAGCTACTAGAAACAACTGCATCGCTACTAGGAACAAGTGCCTTTCTAGTAGTAACAATGTTTGCAAATTGAAACAAGAAGCTACTAGAAACAAGTGCATCGCTACTAGGAACAAGTGCCTGACTAGTAGTAACAAGAAGCTATTTTAAA